TAATTCACATGAGAGTTCAAAAATAAGATCGATAAGAGTCATTATCAGTGACCAGCACCATGTTGGCCAAACCCGGACATGTTCCGGGTATACCCGAGGAAGTGGTAAATCCTTTTTAAATCAAAATCCATCAAGCGATACATCAAATCACATGAGACTTCAAAGCCATCCATTGGCGGTCAAACTGAGTATCGTAAGAACTATATTGGCCACATCAGGACATGTTCCAGATACCCTAGGGGAAGTGGACAAAATCTGTCTTGAGACAAATCTCATGATGCGATGTGTTGTCTAACATTTCTAACATATTTTTTTCTAATGGGACTGACTTGCGGTTACTTTTCGGTGTGGGACAGTTTGACTTGGTATTGTTCTTCATTTAACGTGAAAAAACCACCCTTTTTCAATAGCACATCTCAAAAAACATAGAAAGATAAACTGAATAATGATGCTAACTCAAAATTGATAAAAATGCAGATGGGACTGACTTGCGATTACCGGCATGCTCATAATTATTATACTAATAATGCTCATGCTCATAGTAGGTCATACAAGTGTATCCGCGGCATTGCACTCACAACTTTTACTGCGTACGTACTACACACTTAATCTAGCTCGGTAAAATCTCCAACAGCCGATTACCTCGGCATTTACTTTTGTTGTAATATGTAAAGTGTAAAATTATGTCGATAGATAGTGGCATTTCCTGCTTTACCGGGAACTCGTGTTGATCCCGACCCTCTATCTCGGTACGCAAAAGTCTCCGGTCAATGAGACCACCACCAATCGATTTAGCAGTTTTTCCTTTGAAAATATGTGTAACATGTTGACTGAAACCATTTGGCAGCCGAGATATTCAATTTAGTCGCGGTTTTGTCAATTTTTGCCCACTGTGCATTGTATGAAGGGCCAAAAACGGTTTGGGTGAATCCGTGAGCAACATCGCCCACGTGCATCCACGGGATATATGAGAATCTCCTTCCTATACCAGGATCATACAACCGGTCAAAAAACAGGCCATCCAACAGGATGAGGCCCCAATGAGTGGGGAGAAGAGCTCGTCCTCTTTCACGAAATGTTAAATACAGGGAGTTGACATTTCCACTCTCCCCATCAATTTCGCTTCAATCTCTCCCGTACTCAGCATATAATGTTTCATATAATAGTGGAATGACTTTCACCTTAGGTGAGCGTCGAACGCTAAAACTCTTTCCTACCCCCGCACCAGTCCTGGATGTGAAATGTGAATGCGAATGCGATAAATGCTAGTAAACGGATCTAATAATGATAACATAAGGTTTCTCTAAACCCCCATTATAGGCTTTTACCCGTTATAAAGACTGTATTCGTTAAAAATTGGACACACAGATTCGTAGAAAGATTTTGAGGTCATCTGCAAATGATAACCGAGGAGCTTCGATGACCAGATGCACGTCGTTGAAGTACAGTATAAAAAGTAACGGTCCAATGTGGCTTCCCTGAGGTATCCCTGATGTGGCGAAGAAGCTAGCTGATCTGCAATCTCCTATGGCAACCTTTAGTTGCCGACCGGTAAGATATGATCGAAACCAACTCAGAAGATAACCGCATACACCGAGCCTGCCGAGTTTAGCAATCGCAATAACATGGTTCAACTTGTCGAATGCTGCGGATAGGTCTGAATAAATTACGTCCGTTTGAACTCGATCCGACATGCCTTCGATTATATACAGACACAGCAGATTGGTGGTTGTAGAGCGGCCGATAGTAAACCCATGTTGATCATCACTCAAATACTGGTTGCAATGGGACAGCAACGGTTCCATAATCACTAGCTCGAATAGCTTCGAAACGGCACTTAACGATGTAATTCCTCGATAGTTATCCACAGTTCGTTTCCTTCCTTTTTGTGGACGGGAAACATGTGCGCAAATTTCCAGCAAGATGAAAATATGCCACTGGAGAGAGACATTCGGAACAGGCGAAGAAGCGGAATTAACATGCTAGCAATATGTCTCTTCAAAAATACAGGTAGAGCTCCATCAGGTCCAGGATTGAAGGATGATTTGAGCAGAGTCGCGGCTTTAGAAATCATTTCTGCATTAACATCAATTGCACCCAGCGTTTGATCGTTTACTGGAACGTTCCTGGCAGCCAGGTTAATGATCGTCAGTTAGTATCTCATTAGTGAATACACTGGCAAACTTTTCGGAAAAAAAAGGTGGCATACATCCTGAACGGTGGCAGCAACTTCTCCGTTGAATTCCATAGACAATGGGAGGCCGGATTCCCTGCGTTGCTCGTTCACGTCGCTCCAAAAGGATTTCGGGTGTAGCTTAAGTTTGCGCTGGATGCCTCGTTGGAAACTTGAAAAGCATTCACGACTGACTCACTGGTACATGTGATTCAGCCTCACATAATGTAGTTTCAGAGGAAGCGTGCGATACTTCGTAAATCTTCTCAATGCTTCTCTCTTGATTGACTTCAACCTACATAGCTCTCTCGTCTGCCAGGGAGGGTGAGACACTTTGTGTGTGTTCTTTTCGGGACGTGTCTGTCAATGATATATGCCAAGACATGTGAAAAGGTTTGCGCTGCAGCCTCAACGTCATCTGGATCAAGGATGTTCTCCCATACCATGCTAGACAATACATCTATGATACTACGGTGGTCAACTTTACGGAAGTCATAAGAAATCGTAGCAGGATAGTCGTCGAAATCACGCACGAGTTTGTCCTCAACAGTGACAATTAGAGGAGGGTGATGTGGAACTAGCTTAGTTAGTGCACAAGGAGCCGAGGAAATTGATGGAGCCCTGACCTGTGTGCTCACGAAGCAGAGGTCCAAACTACGACCGTTTTCGTTAACTACATGGTTAATTTGAGAAAGCGTCGCTGCGCTGTAGTTGTCGAGAAGGCTAATAGCTCCTCGCGTGAAATGTAGAGCTATCCACGAAACGCCTGGCAAATTGAAGTCACCAAAAATGAATATCTCATCAACTGGAGTGGCACTTTCGATAACTGTGAAGACTGACCGACAGCGAGTATCGATGAGTTCATTGTCGCGGACTCGATCAGGTGGAATGTACAGAGCGCATAGAAATAGTGTGCGATCACCCAGATTGATGGCTGTCCAAACCTGCTCCACATAGTTCCATGAATCGTTCTCGATGGCCTTTGCCTCCGTCCCGCCACGGACAGCTACAAGGACACCTCCACCAGTAGATTTATGGCTGTTGTTAGGATTACGATCGCAACGAAAGACCTCGTAGTCAGGACCGAAGACTTGACTGGAAACCGTTCGATAATCGAGCCACGTTTCGCACAGGACAATTATATCGTAGCAACAATCCGATACAGCTAGGCGGTACTGGTTGGGAGACCCCACCACCAAACTCGACCGCAGGTCCAGAACGACGCTGATGGCAGGAAATAGAGCGACTTAGATGGCGGGAAACAGCTAACGCGACTGGATCGAGTGGTTCGAGGTCTCCCATAATGCGACAGGCAGTGCGTTCTGGTTTACAGCGGTCCAATTCACAACGCGGCATCCAATTCTGAATCAGCATACTGGGTCTAGTCCGGAGATGGGAGTTGAGAACTCGGAAGGTCCCGGAACAGGAGAGATCAAGATGGCTGGCGATTGTAGAACATTGAATTAGGACGTGCAAAGCTATTGATATCACCATGTGAGGCACAGATACTCCCAAGTGTGTCACAATACGAACCAATTGTGTTGAGACATGGTTCAAAGCATAAGATTCACACATGAAATTGATGTCTTTCACAATAAGTGCTCAATTAAGTGTAAGACACATGATGATGACGCGTGGAATTTTTTGATGTTATCAAGACGTTCAAGGAGCATCAGACAACCAAGTGGTACCTGCAGAAAACGCGCCAAAACTGATCCGAAGAAGGCCAGAATGGTATTGAACCAATTCAAGTGTCGATCCAACATTTCGATTCTGGATGTGGCAAAAAAGGCGAATGCTTCAATTTGTTTTGTGCAAAATACAATGCAATACGTTTTGGACTACACATATACAAAGTTCGGAAGGCATCAAACTTGAAGTGACAAACAGAACACCAAAACTCGCGCAAGGAAGTTGTACAGGATGAGACCTATATCCAGGTAACTGGACTGGGACTGGAATACTAATTCGCCACCTGTAAGTTGGCCGTTCCTGAGAGTGTACGGAAGAAGAAGCTGTCGAAATACGCCGAAAAAATCTTTGTCTGGCAAGTGATTTGCGGATGTGGCAAAATGAGTCAACCCTTCATCACATCTGGGACCGTCAATGGACAAATCTACAAGGACGAATGCCTCCATAAGCGACTTTTGCCCTTCTTAAGGTCTCACGAAGGCCCGACACAGTTTTGGCCGGATTTGGCATCTTGCCACTATGCCGGCCCATCTTAGAATGTTACAGAACCAATAATGTTGTCCAACATTATGGAACTTCGCCATACCGAGGAATTTTGGGCCATCATGAAGGCAATTTCGTAAAATCCCAAAAATGATTAAAAATTAACTTGAATTAAAGAAAGTGTGGTTGAAAGTGTCTAAAGAAGTCGGCCCTAGGAGGTTCAATAAAGCAATGAAGTCAAAACATATAACAATATAGTAAGAGAAATGGATGTAATGTCGGCCTAAATGTCCCTAATTTGGGCCCATACATAAATTCAGCAATCGACTAAATTTTCGATAGAGACCAAAATATCCATTAGTACCGTCCCAATGACGTGTTCATCTAGATAAAATTGATAAATAGCAGATTTTTAGCGATGGGCCCAATCTTAGATCCATAGGCCAACATTAGAGCCATTTCCCCTAGTACTTCATTTCCAGAAAGTTTAAACAGAATCGGACTTAAGGAAATTTTTCTATCTATTTTGTGTGTCCAATATTGTTCGAATACAGTCTTTAATAAATCTGTTGTGTAATGCAATGAAAGCATTAAAAGGGATTCGATCCTGCCAATGAAATAACGAAATGTTTTTTTTTCTTCATCTTTGCAGGTTAGAGGCAATGCGAATTCCGAGTGGGAATCCGATTGGAACAGCGACGAGGAACAGGCGCTGCTCGATTCGGGTGGAAAGAAGGCCGCTGCTGCCCTGGTCAGCAAACTGGGCTACGCTTCGGATTCGTCAACCAGCAGCAACGACAGCGAAAAGTGTCCCATCTGTTTACTTTCGCTGACCGATCTGGAGATCGGTGTACCGGAGGTGTGCGAGCACGTGTTCTGTGCTCCCTGTATCGAGGAGTGGTCGAAAAATGTCACGACCTGTCCAATTGATCGTAAAAACTTCGACGTTATCAACGTCTATAAAAGCATCGATCGGAAGGAGTTGGTTCGTAAGAATCAAGTCCAAGTCAAGGCGCCCGATGATGTGCCCGTCGTTGAGGATCATGAGCTGACCTACTGTGAAGTTTGTCGCCGACCGGATCACGAAGATACCATGCTTCTGTGCGATTCGTGCAATCTGGGCTACCACATGGACTGTCTGACTCCTCCTCTGACGGAAGTCCCGTCAGGATCCTGGTATTGCGATTGCTGTTTCGCTTCGGGTTCCGACGAAGACGACGAAGAGGTTCAGGATTTGCTCAACGATCTGGATGATATTGGTGGGGTTCGTCCAACTCGAATGCGTCTACGTATGAACAGTCCACCGAGGATCGTTCGCACCAGACAGAGTGAACGCATCCGTGCCACGATCCTCACTCGTACTTCAACGTCCGTTCGATTGAATGTTGTTGATGATCCGAATCAACCGGGTCCATCTACTAGAAGGAGAATCGGAACAATCGGAACGACAGGAGCAGCCGCTGCTGCTCCTGCCAGAACGGTACGCAAACGCCGAAAGCGTCGTACCCGTCGAAAAATTCTACGCATGATCATTTCCGAGTATGATGTGGACAACGACGATGAGAAATTTGCTATCAAAAGAAAGAAAATCTACAACACGCTCAAAAAACTAAGCAAAAAACGTTCGAAGCGCAAGCGTGCATCCCGCAGGAGTAAGGCTGCTGAGCTGACTCCAGGGTTGAACCAAGAGGGAGCCGATCTTCAGCGCCAGCGTTTCAGTACCGGCATTCCATCGTTGAAGATCTTTGGGGGAGCAAACGATTTGGATTACTTTTCTGACGACGATCAGGAGGACATGGAAGCGGACGTTTCGCTTGGCGGTCGAGGTGAAACGGCCGTTTCCAGTATTCGCGCAGCTCTGAGGAATCCACTAGGCCGTAGACGGGCTCTGAAGAGTGGTTTTGAGGCAAGTTCGACCAGTAGATCTGTTGACTTGCTCGGAAGTATTATGGAAAATCAGGAACGCTGGCATTCCAAAAATGGACTTGGAGATGTTAAGATCGACAATGGCAAGATTATCTTCAAGAATACAAGCCCGCAAAAGAAAGACTCGAATCCTCCGGGAGCGACCCAAGCTGGAATTGGGCATAATTCTCAGAGCAATGTTAGTCTATCCGAATCGAATACTGGAGCGGCTGACTCTACTAGTTCCAATCGAAATGGCCAATCAGCAGGCGAGTCGGAAGGTGCAGCTGCTGTTGCGTCTAGTTCCACTTCCGGGGCCGGTGGAAATGATCAAAATAATGACAGTGTTCCTGATCCATCGGATATGTCCATATTTGTAGATCTTCCACCGCTGAGCAACCCTACCGAGGAGGACGAAGAAGACGAAAAGAAAAAGAAAAAAGATTCATTCGACATGTTCGGAACGGATCCAATTCCACTGCCTTCTGCACCGGCACCTGGTCCGGCCCAATCCGCATCGACCAATCCGGTTCCAGAGAGCACTACTGCTGACGATGGTCTCGCTCCAGGAACATCCAGAGGATTCGGCAAGTTCAAGTATACAATGACCTCAGAAGCCAACAACTGCCCCAACTTTTCCGTGTATTCATCCGAAACACTCGAATATGCAAAGGGTTGTGGTGAAGAACCGTACGATCCATTGGACAGTGAACAGAAAACGGACGACGAATTTGAGGAACGAGATGAAGATTTAGTTCAGCTGGATGACGAAGAGCCTCCAGTGCAGAAACCACATGACACTCCTGTCGAACCCGACCAGGAGCATATTCCCAATGGGACGGACAAGCTCCCAGCCGGAGATCTGGATCACGATGCTTTCGATTCCGATTCCGAGGATGAGTTGAAAAAGATTGAAGAATCATCCGCTCCTATTGGTCCCGAACCTGAACCGACAAATGAACTGGAGGCTTTGACACCGCCTCTAACCACCACGGTGGCTGCCGCTTTGGCATCTTCGGGAACGGCTGTCACAACGACAGCCGGACTTCAGACGGGAACGGTAGTTGTCGGTGAAGCAAGTACCACCACTACCAGTGTTCCTAGTGGTGGTGCACCTGCTAATTCGGCCCAAGGTGAAGAGGATCGCAGCTACACTCCGTGTTTGGACGAAAAGTACCAGGAAGCAGCACGTCGAGAACAGGACAAGAGTGGTTCAACACCGACACTACCGCCACCGTCTGGTAGTACGAAGGAAGGTAAGTTTATAACTAGAATGATGTGATGCTTTCAATAGGATTTAAAAATCCACCCGTGTTCATTTCAGGTATCGATGGCATGGATACGGAAATGATATCGGACGAGGACGAAAACACGTTCAAGGAAGACGAAGCTCGGCCAACGTCAGCATCGAAGCCGTCCTCTTCGGGAACTAAGAAGAAGGACCTCACCTTCAAGAAGGTAAACAAGAAAGGCAAGGAACGTAACTACCGGGATAAGGAGACCAAGAAACGAGATCGCAATGACAATGACAAAGAGAACCATGATCGTCGTTCACGGGAGCGCAACCGCCAACGCCAGCGTCCGAAGCGAAAGGAACTGCAACGCTACGATGTGCGCACGGTAATCGAGAAGCGTCCAAGAGTAATGAAGGATCCATTCGGAAGAGATGTTACTCCGAGGCAGCGCTCCAAGACTCGTAGCCGCAGCCGAAGTCGTAGTCGCAGTCGCACCCCAGAACGTCGTCGAGAGATGTCAATTTCATTGAGTCCGGAACCTCCGCGACGATTCAACAGAAGACGATCACTTTCACCAAGATTCAGGGGACGAAATCGTTCGCCACTGCCGTTCCGTAGAAACGCTTCAAGGTCTCCCTCAAGAGGTCCAAGATTGAGATCCATTAGTAGGCCACGATCGAGATCTCCAGTGGTTGCGCGGCCACGCGTTGTGACAAGATCAATTTCAAGATCTCTCACACCACCTCGCCCTAGACTTCCACGATCTATTTCGAGGCCTCTGAAGTCACGTTCCCGGTCACCAGAAGTTCGGGGAGCAAAGATAAAGAAGACTAAGAAAAAGAAGCGTGTGGCTTCGGCTAGTAGAAGTCGCAGTCCAAGTGTAGATCGTGGTAAGAAAAAGGGCAAGAAGGGTCGCAAGAAGAAAAACAAACACCGCAGCAGATCCCCAGCTGGTAAAAAGAAGAGGACCAGAAGGAGGTCTGCTTCACCCATGATGTCACGTTCTCGTTCAAGATCACCGTCGATTCTTCCGGCGCAGACCACAGGAGTTCTTACCGAACGGTTCGCCAAGGTCCGACAGCAAAACTCGTGGACTCCTCCACCGCCGGTCAGACCGAAAACGAACGGAACGAATTTGACGGTGATTCTTACCAATGAGGAAGCACTAGCAAAACAAGCGAAGGAACGCGAACGGAAGCGAAAGGAAGCAAGACGCCGGGATCGGGCACGTGACAAGAATCTACCCTCGAAGGAAGTATTTACATCAGGTGATAATATATTAGTTAGTGTTAGTTTTAACGACAAAAATTTGAATAAAGAGAATGTAGCAGCCGCTGAAGGCGAAGCGTCCGCTGCGGTGACACAAAAGAGATTGAAAGACATGGCTAAGAAGCGAGCAGAAGCTGAGAAAGCCAAGCGAAGACGTTTGGAACGTTTGAAGAAGACGCGCGGCGAAGCTCCCAAGCCAGTAGTTATCATCGATCTTGACAGATCACCGTTCCGCGTTATGACGCCTTCTCCTAGGGCAGTTATTGTGCTCAGCGATAGTGACAACGAGAAAGATAAAGACCGTCGAGAGGCGGATGCGAACCGCACCGGCGCAGCAAGCAATCAACAAGTTAACGCAGAAACTAGTACTAATGGACCGTCTTCGTCGTTGCGAAAGTCTCCTGCCGAACGACACGAGGAGGACATGTTTGGTCCCAAAACACCACCAGGCTTCCCCAGCCAACCGCAGCCCTCGCAGAGCAAAGCTCAGGCGCCAAAGTTTTCCATGCAAGTCAAATCGAAAGCGTCGAATATTCGTCCGTTGAATCTCCTGTACGAACCAGGCGAATTGGACGAAGGTAAAACACCCGAGCGGATGGATAATGCCGAAAGCTCGTACAACATGGTCGGTCCAAATACACCTCCAGAACCGGCTCCACAGTCTCCTTCGCCGGATGTGTATGATCCGTTCGAACCAACGAAATCTCCTTCCCCCTCTCCGTCACGGCGTGACAATGTCTCGATCGAACGTCTTTCTGACCTGGACGATGCGGTGCTTCCTTCCAGCAGTGGCAAACCCGACGGACCAGACTCAGGTACCGTGGGTGACCCGAAGGCCGACTCCCAGAACCAAGACGAAGCAATGAATGGCGAAACCGACGGTCCACGGGGTAACAAGATCACAATCCTCAGCAACATTGTCATTAGTCAACCATCAAATAGCGCCTCGGGCGTAGTAAGCGGTTCTGGCGTCGTTTCGGCTAGCCAGAATAACGGTGGTGACGACTCGGACGTCATCTTCGATGACTTCGTTTCATCTTCTGCTCCTGTGCCCAGCAGCAACGTTGGTTACAACAGCACTGCCAACCAGTCGAACCCAATCAAGTCGTACAGCACGGCCGCAAACTCATCGAGCTTGATCTCGAAACTACCACTGCCACCGGGAGCTACTGCCGGTCAGAAGTTCAATGACTTTATCAACCCTACCGATTCGCCGTACTCTCCGGGAGCGAGCGATTTCGATGATCTGTTCGAAGCGGGCGGTGATTTGGATTCTCCTCCGCCGGCACCAATGAAGCAGTCCTACAAACCGACAAAAATCGTCTCGAAAGGAGCCAAGAAGGCAGGTGGCTCTTTCGATACGTTGTTTGGCGGTTCGCCTGCCAATAACTTTAAACGGGGCAAAAAAGGAACGCATAAACGGAAAGGTACAATTTGGGTGGAGATTTGAAAATGTACTGAAAATTAATGGTTTATTTTAAAATTTCAGCCAAAGCGAAGGGTGGCGATGATGAGGAAGATCTTTCCAAGTTGTCTACGAAGGATAGGGTAGGGCACGGTTTCAACTTTCAATCGACACTGGTTTATCCCTTTGGCAATGTTAATGCTAATCGATGGGCGTTCTCTGTTTGCTTGTTTTGTGTATTTGCAGTTCCTCAAGAAGTTGAACCGATTGGAAAGAGTCGTGGAAGAGGTTAAACTGGTCATCAAACCGTTCTACAACAAGAAACAAATCAACAAGGATGAGTACAAGGACATTATGCGACGTGCTGTTCCGAAGGTAGGTTCCGTTCGGTGTCCCTGTAGAATTGGCATTGGTGAGATCCGACGAGGAGAATCTCGGGAACCATTTTTTAAAGAACTTGTTGGCCCGAGGGAAGCATACGTTAGGTCAACTGGGTTTCCCAAAAGCAACTCTTCGTCGATTTTCGCTTTTGTTAATAGTTTGCTAGTTTTAACGTTTCTCGGTGCGTTTGCTGTTGCTTTTGATAACCAATACAACCTGTTACAACTCTGCATTTAGCAAATTCTAGAAAATTGTTTCGCTTAGCTGTAGCAATGCAAAGAGAAAATTTATGAAGAGTATCGTTCATAGCATGCACACTGTCGAATTACCAGATTGCGAACATACTAACAGCAGATGCGGACTTGAATGAGAAAAATTATCGAGCATACATCCCAAGACATCTGGTGTCACTGGTGTGATCGAAGGGGTACCACTACATACTTCTGAGCAGGAAATCGCAGAGGAAATGGAATGCGAATGTCCAGTAATGACAGTCTACCTACCGTATGAACTGACACGTACATGGAAGAAAAGAACCAACCATGCGAGTGAACAGTTGACGTCAGAGCGTTTAATAGGAACACTTTACTTTGCCAGAATTGTCTTCGGTACAATCATCTGGCTGCAAACTGCAAGAGCAAGCGGCGCAGTGATAATTGCTCGAGGACACAGGACAAGGAGGAAGATTACAACGAAGTGGACCACATTACTACGGATACCAAATGCCCAAAACGTACCAGGCAAAACAATGTACAGGCGATCAAGGCACAAACGAACCTGACAGCGGTTGAAGAGTGGAGTACCAATCAATCGACCACATAAACGTACAGCAGAAAAGTAGAAAACAGATGTGCAGAAAAATGTAAATGGGGTGGGCTTGTTCAATAAGTTTAAGGTCACGGGTGCAGAAAATTGGATAAACAAACTACGACAGGTCAACAGTCCACTCCATCAACGAGCATGGCGGCAATTCCCAAGGAGAAATTTGCGAATTTTGTTTAGAACATGATCAGAGAAGGTAAAATTAACCCCCTTAGTTTGGAACTGACACAACCAAGCAAAAATGTAAGTAACATAGAACAGTCTATGGATAAATAAAGACGAAATTTTACGACGATTTTGACTAAAAATTACAAAATTACGAATCGTAGTGTTCTCGGAAACTTGGACGAAGCCAAGTGAGAAGACAAGCCGAGCGTACAGAATAAGTGGGTATCATCAGAGATACTTGCAGCAAGACAACTATGGCGGAGTCGCAGTATATTGTTTATTGTTATGACGAAACACGTCAGCTGATACATTGAAGTCGATCATATAAAAAAGTAGTTGAATTGGCGGCTGACTGCTCGAATTGGCTCGTGTTGTGTATAATTCCGGATCCGTGGTTCCAAAAACAGAAAGTCGCGTTGACGAAGAGACCTCTCAGGGGCATACATATTAAGCTGTGACAGCAGTGTTGGACAGTCAATGTAAGCAGCTTTCCAGCGAACATAGCTTGAGCGACCGTCCGTCTCACCTCTAATGGCTCGATTCCCAGGAGACGGCAACGCTCCTCGTACAGTGGCAAGTTCGTTGGGTCACGCCAGTTGAGAAAACGAAGAGCATATCCCACAAACTTGCGTTGAACGGATTCAATTCTAGTGATCCAGCTAGCATGGAAAGGGCACCAAACAACTGAGCTTGACCCAATAATTATCGCACAAGCGAGCAGTAGAGTGACCTAAGGCAAGCGGGTCACGGAACTCGTCGGCAATTTTGAAAATAAAGCCCAATTGCCGATTAGCTCTGGAGATGATGTAATTGTAGTGGATTCTGAAAGTGAGTCTGCAGTACAAGGTAACGCCGAGATTCTTTATGTGCTCTACACGAGCAAGACAGCGTCCGTAGAGAACATAGTCAAACATGATTGGATCGATTTTTCGGTGATAGGAAATAATGTTACATTTTTCTATGCTAAGACTCATCAAATTTCTTGAGCACCAGCCAGCAAAAATGCCTAACATATTCTGGAGATCCCAGCAGTCTGAGAGGCTTTTAATAATTTTGTAGATTTTCGTATCATCCTGATGGTATCAGAAAGGCGACGTCGTTTAAAAAGATCGAAAACAGTAGCGGTCCTAGGTTACTGCCTTGCGGAACTCCCGAGTTGTTTGAGAAAACATCCGATTCCTACGCGCCAATCTTGACATGTACATAGCGATTCACCAAGTAAGATCTGAACCATTCCACAGCAGTTGACGAGATGCCAAGTATCTCCAGCTTGGCCAGCAAGATATTATGGTCCACCGTGTCCAATGCGGCTTTTAGATCCATATACGCAGCATCGACTTGCCATCCTGAATCCATGCATCGCAGACAGTTAGAAGTGAAGTGCACCAGGTTCGTGGACACGGAGCGCTTCGGGTAGAAACCGTGTTGTACTGTATCGATATAATTTTTGCAGCGTGCGAACAGAGCACCATTTATGATAATCTCGAACAGTTTTGAGCAGGCACACAGGGAGGTGATTCCACGATAATTTATGACATTCCGTTAAGTTTCCAGCGGCAGCGGAACTCACATTGCTGTGCCGAGGGATTGAATAGCCTCGCAATTGGAAGGCAGAGATTGGCTACACAACGTTCTAGAACTGATGACGGAATGCCGTGAGGTCCGGCGGCGAACGAGAGCTTCAGTTTGCGTGTGGCGGCTATCACCACGTCTTCTGAAATGCGCGGAATAACGAAACTAAACACATCACGTGGCATCCCAGCAGTAGCGTCCAGCACTTGTGTTGGCGAAGTCATTCCCGAGAAACATGGAACAAGGCAACCCGGATTCCTTCCATTTGGAGTTGACAAACGACCAAAAACTTTTCGGATTCGTGCGAAGGTTCGCTTCCGTGCGTCTCACGTGTCGATTATAGAGAAAACGATTGTAATTTCGATAACTACGGCTCGTAAAATTGAACAGTCGAGTTTGCAATACTTTCGGAGGGCGACAGAGCGTTGACGTTTTAGCACGCGTAGGCGTGGGTTAGACCATGCAGGCTTTAGCGGAGGTCGTCGAGCTGGGACAATGCGGAAAATAGCATCTTCCAGTGCAGCACTGAAAAAATCCACAGCATCATTCACGCTAGCGGCTGTTTCGATAAATTGCCAATCAATTTCCGCAAGCGCATTGTTCAATGCAACATAATCAGCTCGGCGAAAGTCCAAAGAGTAGCACTCATAGGAAGGCGTAAAAAAACGGCATAGGTAAACTAAATGACACGACGAGAGCGGGATGATCGGCATCTAGATCAATCAGTGGTCCGGTAGTGCGGAATCATTTGCCAGGACAAGATCTAGCAAACGTCCTTTTCGGTTCGGAAAAGTATTCACTTGTGTGAACCCGTAAAAGTTAAAACCGTTCAAAAGAGCACAGCAAGCAACCGGCATATGCGAAAGCAGTGGATCAATTAATGGTGTGCCACTGTCTGTAAAGCGCCACTGCAGACCAGCTTGACTGTAGTCACCAAATACGAAAGCGGGAGAGCAGGGACTTAATTGTGACGAAATTGAGCCTAACGATTCCACATGCTCACGGATGATCGTGCAGTCGTTTTTGCGGTCGGGAGGCAGGTAGATTGCGCCTACACTAAGCTTGCTTTGTGGAAGTTCTACGACAATCCACAGCTGTTCCAGTTGACTGGAAATGGGTGACGTACTTCCGTAGCTGGTTAGTCTCGTAGATACTGCAATCAGGACTCCGCCACCGCGCGATTTTTGACTGTTTAGAGCAGACCGGTCAGTTCTGAAGACGGTGACTCGAAAAGTTGCGATGAGTAAATTCGGTCGTTCGGCCACGTTTCCGTCAGCACAATCAAATCATATTCGGCCTCCGCAACAGCCAGGAAAAACGAGTCGATTTTAGTCCTCAGCCCACGCACGTTTTGGTAGTAGATCCGGAGACCATTCGAGGAGCAATCACGAGAACTAGAAATCGAAAGGACATCAGGTACCGAAAGCTCGGAATCACTAACATACTCGCCTGAGGTTGCAGGCCGGAGGCCCCCGATACCATCACCGACCACAGGACCGGGACGATGACGATGGCGGATGTCTGCAGCAAGCGCGACTGGGTCGGGAGGTTCGGAAGCTTCCTCAGTGCCTGTTTTAGGGTGTCCCGGATCCGAGGAAGAGCAGGTGGCGGCATAAACCTGCTGGCAGTTGGCACGACGGATACATGGACATGATGTGGCTAGTATGGAGGTCGCAGAACCGGAAACACAGCTAGAAGTTGAAGCGGTATCAGGAAAAAGAGAGGCTAAATCGTCAATATACTTGCCAGTAATAGCTGGTTGGAAGACCCCCGACCTACATCTACACTCAGGGCCGAGACGACTATGCAGAGCGCTGGCTGGAATAAGCGCGACTGAGGCAGAGAAATTAGGGGCTTCCACAGTGCTATCCACGATGCGTCTCGGTGGTGATGGTGGTGGTCCAGAGGCAGTAGAGCTAGCAGCATTATTCTTGGAAATCGTGGAAACATCTACGGTGTATTCCGGATGGGCAGATGGACCATTCGGGGATAACGAAGACGCATCGTTTAGCCTCGAAGGATTCGGGAGTACCTGCTCAACATTGTTCCATGAATCGTTCTCAATGGTCATTGCCTCCAACCCGCTACGGACAGCTACAAGGACTCCTCCACCATATGTTCAACGCAAATACAACTACCAACAAATGGACCTCACGGGGCAATCGGATCAGATCCAGATAACTGCTGTCAAAATGCTGCGATTGGACGTCAACTCTCTTTTGTCTCAACTGGACTGCTACAGCAAAGCCGTCATTCCGGGCAATTTCAATTGTCACCACTACTTACGGGGCAACACCACCTGTGGCAGAAAAGGAGCAATATTGATGGACGCCATAAATAACTCAAACCTGCTTTTGATGAACGACGGATCAAAAACATTTGCTCCAATAGACATTGCAAAAAGAGCCACAGCAGTTGATTTATCACATTGAGTGGAAAGCTCTTCCAAAATCCATTGGAATGAGAATAGTTGATAGAAGCGATCTGGACTACACCTGACAAGCATTTCATACCGCTTTTCATAAACCATCGAAAAATACTCGAAGAGGGCTCGAAATGGAACAATGAGGAAGTTCAAAGCTTGGACGACTTGGAGAAACAAAGTAAAACAATGCGTAAACAAGAACAGAAAAGTCAGTAGACATACTCCTAAAGCATGGTGGAATGACGAGGTAGAGAGAGCATGGAAAGATAAGATGGAAGCCGTTAGAAGGTTTCATGGACAAAGTACTATAGAAAACGCTATAGAGGTCAAAAAATATTCGGCGATATTTACTAGATAAAAGTGAAGCTATTAAAACACAAATAGAAGAGCTTGCGGAAACGGTGGATCCTCGAACAAGCTCGAAATAATAGCAAGGATATTAGGGAAAGGCAATAAAAGGAGAGTTAAAAATCCAATACAGGAGAAGAGTTTCTGGATGTACACGTTGGAAAAAAAATGATGAAGACATCGAGGTACCGTTATCATATGGCCCGGTATTTCAATACAACCTGTTGAATGCAGGAAAATGGAACCAGATTCTATTATCAAAGAACTCGAAGTCAGCCCTTTCCAGAGATATGATTACATACGGTATGCTCAAACAAATCAAACCTGATATAAGAGATAATAATCAACCAAATGTTCATATCAGGTACACTGACTTTAGAGGTGAACTAGCCTAAGGCTAAAAATCTCTTTAATAAAGAATTAAAAAAAAAGGTACACTGACATATAACCTAAAAGAATTAAAAATTGTTGCGATTCCGGGCTGGGATCAAGGTACTGTGCAGGGGAAAAGGCCAATAGCCCTGATTCCAACTATCACTAAGATCATCAACACAGCTGTGTTGGTTGGAAATGATTCATAACCATCTAAGCGATCGAAACATCTTACCAAAAGTCTCCTTCGGGTTCAGAAGAAATGTTTCTACACAGACAAACAGACATAATTCTTGCGAGTTGTTCATCGAACAAGCATTTAACGGACAATTTAAAAGTATCGTAATTGGTGGTACCGCCAACTGTGGCGCGCATAGTCAATTCCATTGCGTTTGACGTTTACACACTACCGCCATCTATTCAGCGAAGTGCCCACCACAGTGTACTAAACAGATGTTTTAGCTACGGTGTTTTACTGTGAGAAATATTCAATGAATTATGTCTGTTTGTCTGTGGTTTCTACGTCATACTGTGTTAATAACGTGGTGAAACAATAAAATAGAGGGATATATCACAGCCATGACATTCCTAGACTTAACGAATGCATATAATTCTGTTAAAACAGATGGGTCACGTCTTTTTTGAAAAACAGAAAAGTGGAAATGATGGTTGGAGAAAATTAAGTTTCAACACTGAACAACACTATTTCTAACCGTTCGCTTTCATACACCATTGCAGATTTGCCACAGCCGTACGGGGGAAATCAATCCGATCAAGATCCAGAAGCTCATCAAGGCCTACGTGCGCAAGGTTCGTGCCCGGCGACGATTAGCCAAGAAAGGCACCGGAGGTCCCGGTCCGCTCGTGGCTCCCGGTGCAGCGAATCCGATGATCATCTAAGGAGCGTTTCCACATATTTCCTCTCCTTTTCGGAACTCCAGCAATATACCCAACAAATACAAACAAACTCACATACACACATACCCTTTCCCGTATTGACTCCACGGGATGGTAGCATGGCGGTGCTGCCAGCAAGTGAAAATTTGGTAATGTTTTTGTTTTTGCTTTATTTTTACTTCGTTTTTGACGAACACACTTTGCTGCGCGGCACATTTCAGTGGGAAACAGTGTAAGGCTTGGCAATACTTACTACTATTGTTGATGCACTTTTACGCGTTTGAGTCCAATTGCATGAAATTACTTGAACAAAGTTTTCCCTTACTGGGGTAAAAAATGCGCAAGATTGTAAAAAAAAAAAAGAATTGAACAAATTTAATAAGTGAGGCAAAATGACGCATCTACTTGAAACATAAGGATTCCTTATCGAATGAAACGACTAGTTTTTTTTGTTGTCTAGAATTAAGTAACCATTAGGACACACGATCACGCATCAATTTCACTCATAATTGTGGTAGAAAGTTGCTACACAGAAAGTCTAGTTAAAAAAGGGTATTTATAACAATTATCATAATGAAATATTTATTGAATATACAACAATTACTAGGAGTTAATGTAAGTTGATTAGATTGTGCTAACTGTAGAGAATAATCTCTGAATAAGGTACATTATCAGTGTAAAGTTTGTCCAATTACAATCTAGCTATTGTCTTAAAGCTGCGTTCACAATGCCCTGTTCGTTATTCTTTGACATCGTTCTGAACAGCATGGCTCGAGAAAGACATCTCCCGAACACGGCCCGGTCCGATAGTTGATTGGATCGGGCTTTCGGAAGAGCAGCTCGTGCAAATCTAGATCCCTTCCACAATCACAAAATCAGCCCTGATTCGATGCAATTGAGACTTCGATCAGCGAACAATGCTGATCTTGAGCGAATGGTAGAATTTCCGACTGTCGAAATGGATCCATCTACCTATGAAAGGATAGCAGTTCACATCCCTTGCGAATGTGTTTATATGGATGCACCCAAAATGTAAAACAGCCGTAATAAGGATCGTCTACTACCTACTACAATTAAAAGTGAGTAATTTTAAATCTGTAGTATTGCCTGTGAGGAACATATGAATTCATCTAAATACACAACAGAGAAAATGCTAAATAAAAGTAAATAGTTTAAGAATAGTTCGGTTTGTCGGGGTTTTGATTGGGAACGAAAATACCTTTGGATATTGGGGATTGTCATCTGGAATGATGTTTTTGATTTCGGCTTCTGGCATGGTGGGGCTGGTATATTGTTAATGTCATTATCAGACCACAATTGTCGAGGAGAAGACATAAGGCTTATACTCGAAAAAAAATGCACCATTTTTATCCGTGAGTAACTTTTTTATCCGTGGGTAAAAATTGATGAAAATTTGGGAATAACTAGTTTGGAGTGAATTGTTTACATGTGCAAAATTTCATAACAATCGGTTCTCAGTGGTTATTGAGATGTCATCGAAACAAGAAGAAAAAGGCCGGAGAATTTCGCGCGCCGTCATGGAAAATCCGACTGCGACCTTGAGATGGATCGGAAGACAACTGGGAATTACCCATACAACTGTGTCTCGGGTGGTAAAATCGTTTAAGGAGTCCCAGACGACCGAGCGGCAGGCTGGAAGTGGAAGAAAATCGAAGACAGCTGACCCTGTGAAGGCCCGGAAGGTGTTGGATTATTTCAAGCGTAATCCGAACCTTTCGATTCGCGACGCGGCTCTGAAAGCAAAGTGTTCCGCCTGGTTCATTCAGCAAACCATGAAACGAGCTGGGCTTCGTGTATTCAAGGTCCGGAAGGCACCGAACCGGCGTGATCAACAAAACACGTACATTACAATGGGTACCATCAACAGCGAAATTTACCGCACCGAGTGTCTCCAGAAGCGTCTGTTGCCCTTCCTGCGGTCACACGGAGGCGAGACATTATTTTGGCCGGACCTGGCATCATGCCATTACGCGCGATCGACGTTGGACCAAAAAGGTCGGCTCCACCATTGCACAAAATGTAATGAGGGGTCTTAAGGGAAAGCTGCGGGCTTTCAGCAATAGAAAGGAAATTGAATAAAGTAATTATGCCGAAACATAATCCATATGTATTAGTTCATTCCCTGAAAGTTTCAAGAAAATCCGACTTAAAATAAATTTTTGGCGAATACTTTTGTCTGGTGCCTTTTTTTCGAGTACAGGCCTTATACCATAGAGGTAACTCTAAGACCACTGGGTCCCGAAGAAAATCATTATTATTTTTGGCTCACTCAGTACCAGAACAACGGTCCCAAGCAGTCCCAAGCTATTTCACTCACCCCTGCATGTTCTGCATGAATCCACACACCCCTGATGTTATCTGTCAAACTTTCATAGCGAATCAAAACAAACATAGTGTAGTAATAGAATTTCAACTAGAATAGGGTACGTTAATCGTTTGCTTGGGACCAATAAGCTACTAAAGTGGTGAGCCAATTTAAAATCGTTAGTTTCGTATTGATTGTTGGTATTACCCTCGGTATTTCCGGTTTTATTATTTATTTATTGAAGCTCTCTCAACGTGTTAAGGCTGGCGCACAATGCATAAGTTTCCAGATTTTTTGACAGATAATGCATGGGATAACCGTCGAAAAACCAGAAAACTTATCCATGCTGCGCCGGCCTTTAAACCAGCGATGCCCAACGCACAGTGGGACAAAATCAAAAATAGTGGAACATGGCTATTTGCGACAAAACTATTGAGTGTAGCATTGTGATGTCTTTTAGAATTTTTCTTCATTTTTTGAGTACTCAAATTGATAAGTGAACATTTTTGATTAAGAAGGGGTTTACACTAAGATAAAAAAAAACTTTCTTATGTCTTGTTGAAATTGATGAACATCTATGGAAACCAGTGATGAAAAAGTTCGCGAAAACTCACTATGACTTGCGAACTTTTCCCTTGGTGAACTTCGTGAAATATCGCGAACTTTTCCAACACTGATGGAAACATTGTAGATGAAGTCATTTTAAGAAACTTTGTCGAAGATGTCTATTTTCTATCTCTCAAGTGGACGAAGTTATAGGATGAAAATGGAATACTATCGCTAGTACCCCTTTAAAAACCTATTTTACCATAACTCTTTAGGTTGATATTTTCATTTTTTTTCAATGTTTTACAAAGTTGTAAGTGCTCTAAAAATGCACATTTTTGTTCAATGAAGCATATCGCTATATCTCTTCATGCAAAGGCTTTACATATGTATTTATAATTTTTCAACACTAACTTTAAAGGGGTGTATCTTGCAGGTTAGCAGGTATTAGCAGCTAAACTTGACGTAATTTCGTTCAGCAACTTATACCCTATTGTTATTGCGTGATCCAAAGGGATGCCTAATGATTGTCCCTCTTTTGTCGATGGAAGTTATGGCCATGTCCCTCTTTTTTTTAATTTCGTCCCACTGTGCAACGTGAGGCCCACGGGACGATGATGTAACTCTCGTCCAATTTTGTTCATCACTATGAATTTTGGCCCAGAATGAATAAGAAATAAACAAAATGCAGCTTGAAACATGTTCACCGAACAAAGATACAGCCATTTAAAAACATTTTTTTTTTTATTATTATTATAGTCACTTAACTTAACCACTACGCCGGGGTCGCCCCCTATTTAAAAACATAAGATTAGTAAAGTTGGTCTTAAACAATCAGCATTACGTGCATATTAGAATTAATGCTAGTATACAAATCCATAAATCAACGAATCGATTCGTTAACGGTTTTCAGATTTACCATTAACATAAAATGATAAAATTAACGTCGTAGATTAACGATTTAACGCAAATGTGCCCTTCGTATAACGGAATAGGGGCACAGAGAACAGACGTCCAATTTCAGTCAGAAACTCGTGTAAAGGTATGTTGCCATCAACCTTTGTTAAAAATTTCCATTTTATGCTCTGAACCATTTGGCGGCTATTTTAAACTTTTGCTTAAAAATTAACCAGATGGAAAGTTATCGATTACCCTAATAAAATGTGCATGGTTATTTTGCTTAGCGAAAGGTACCATCCAAACCATTGGTGGAATAGTTCTATCATTTGGTTTATCGTTCGGGTGTGTTTTTTTTTAATTAGGGTAACCCTGCTATCCGAGCGTGGTTATTTCTGACAGACAAGCAGTTAAATTTTGACAACTGTGGCAGATTTCTGCTCAAAAACCGATCGATCGGTAACACAAGGATTTTCGAACACGGAAAATAACTTTTTAAATGTCACTTTTAACCACGAGTTAAGGCTGTGTTCTATTTGGTGAATTTTTATTTAAATTTGACATTTCGAAAATAAATTATAATGTTGTTGATCATCCGATTTTCGTGAAAGTATTTGTCAAAATTGATTCCTGGTCTGCCAGAAATAAGTCTGGTATAATAGCAGCTTTATTTGAAAATATTCCATCTGCCAAATTTAAGTAAACATTCACCAAATGGAACACAGCCTAAATTTAACTCGGCGAAAAGTTCACAGCCTTAAGCTGTGTTCCATTTGGTTAATTTTCACTTAAATTTGACACTTCGAAAATAAATTAAGATGTTCGAAAATCCCTCTGTTGTTGATCGGCCTATTTTCGAGAAAGCGTCTGTCAAAATTGATTTCTTGTCTGGCAGAAATAAGTCTGATGGAATTGCAGGTTTATTTGAAAATTTTCTATCTGTCAAATTGAAGTAAAAATTCACCAAATCAGTGCCAACATTTCAAAGGGGCGTAATTGCTTTTGTAAACAATGGCTTTAGCCGTCGGTTTCTCGCAAATAAAAGCTCACTCATGAAAATTGATTACACCAGCAGATAGAGGAATGTTTCCTCTACCAGCTGGCATTGTTAATTTGGAGGAGTGAGCTTTTATTTGCGAGAAATCGACGGCTAAAGCCATTGTTTACAAAAGCAATTACGCCCCTTTGAAATGTTGGCACTGAAATGGAACACAGCCGTAGCAACAATCAATTCGAAACTAACGATTTTAAATTGGATCACTACTTGACTAGCCTATTGGTCCCAAGCAAATCGATTAACGTAACCCATTCTAGTCGAAATTCTAGTACTACACTATGTTTGTTTTGATTTGTTATGAAATTTTGACAGATAAAATGAGGGGTACATAGATTTTCCTATGTTTCGAGGGGTGCATCGATTAGCTTGGGACCGAAGATAGTACCAGAGCTGAGCACGTATCTTTGGTACCTTCTGGTCTTAGAGTTACCTCTATGGCCGTAGTGTCTAGTGTAATTTGTGCCAGCGCCATCAAATTGTAAAGAAAAGATTTGTAACTGGGGAACTCGGTGTCTAGATTATGAAGCCATTTTGTGTGAGCCTCAACGGCTGTTCTCTGTGATAGGGGTGAGCGACTGTTTCGAATTAAAATGCTTTTCTATTTTTTTTTCATGAATTTTATTTAATTATATACACACTTAGATTTTTTTTACATTAGTCAGTATTTTTTACTGGATTTTTGGATTACTGAAAAAGTCGGTTAATATTCAAATGACTGTTATGACTGTCGTGATTGGATAAAATCGACAAATTTTATTTTTCATCATTACACGGGGTTAACAGAAGTAAGTCTGTCAATTTTCGTAACACATTTTCTCAACTTAAAATTTTTCACAGATTTTTTAAATTTTACCGAAAAGTTCCGCAATTCAAAAACTCAGTAAAAATTACTGACTGGATAAGTGTGTAGTTTACAAGTTTTGATGATTTCATTGATTTATCGGTAAACAAAAAAAAAAATATCCTCGGAAACGAAATAACTGACATCCTACTTTTGAACAAAAATGCTTTCTATGGCATGCTTCATAAAAAAGTTGTAAACAAAATAAATTAAGCAACGCAGCAATTGACTATCGTTATTTTAAGCTTGCTAATTAACGCTAATAATTTATATCAATCTACACTTGTGCGGTGTACTTCTGCATCATTGGGCCGTGTTGCTGGTGAGATGATTAGCACTAACAATACTTTACACATGCACTGGTGCTGGCAGATCTGGATGGATATAATGGAAATCGCGAAGTATGCACAGAACAAGTTCGCCTCTCTATCGACTGTCTCGCACTTGCCGCAGACGTCGCATGCCAACGATTTTCAGCAACCTGTGAATGAAGTGTGGAGAAAATTGAGTTAGAAACAACCAGGAGGTGTGATTTTCACTTACAGTTTCTTTACGTTTGGGTAGTAACATCCAATGTACAATATCAGATTGATGGGGAAGGTTCCGACCCAACTGAGGTGAGTTTTGTTCGCCAGAGCAATTGCGTACAGATAGCCGCACCGTTCACTAGTCATGCGTTTGTCTTCCGGGCGTACGGATTGGTTGTATTTCTGGAATGAAAGATGTAAGGAAGGTAGATTAGATTAATGCTAATTGAGAGTGATTTCATGTGCTACAATTCTTATAGTTTCATCACGGTTGGGGAAAATAGGACAACAGCATCATGATCACCCTAACGGTTGGATTGGCTATTGAACAAGTTTCATAATATAGAGTAGAAAATTAAACTTTTCAATCTTGTATGCAAAGCACATCAGATTTGTTTGAACGAATAAAACTGGTAACTCTAAAGAGTTGATGAGTAGTTGAATGTCCATGGCGAAATCCAAACTGCTCATCTGCAAAAATCGAGTTCGTATAGATTTTTTTTTTTCCTTTGGTTTGTTTTTTCCGTCGATCTTGTTTTCCGTGCTGAGCAGCAATGCACCTGGTCCCTACCTATCGACCCATCAACTCATGAACCGGGGACCAACGGCTTTACTTCCCATCCGAAGGAAGGCGTGATCAGAGATGTTATGCTTCAGAACATCCCGGCGGCGCCGACTGGGATGAGTTCGTATTGATGTGAAGCATAATTCTATTCAAAATTATATTTTCAAAAAGTTTTCTTATTGAAGAAAGCAAACTTATTGGACGGTAGCTAGAAGCTTCAGCTGGATTTTTATCCGGCTTCAAAATTGGAACACATTTTGCATTTTTCCGTCTATCAGGAAAGTATGCCAAATGGAAACATCTGTTAAATAATTTTACCCAGAAATACAAGGTACTCTCTGGGAATCTTTTGATGAGGGTATAGAAAATTCCATCATCACCTCGAGCTTTCATATTTTGAAACTTTTTACTTATAGATTTTACTTCGTCCAAAAGTCCCCCAGGAACCATCAAAAATATTTTCCCGAGAGAAAATATTCAGATAACCCCGAGCAACCTGATTCTCAATAGGACTAGTAAGATCCAAGCTGAAATTATGGGAACATTCTAATTGCTTAGCAAGTTTCTGAGCTTTTTCCAAATTTGTGATAAAAATTTTACCACCTTCTTTAAGCGCTGGAGTAGGCTTTTGAGTTTTTTTTTTTCGAAAATTTTGTGAGCTTCCAAAAGGGTTTGGAACTCGGGTCCAATTTCGAAACATTGTTTTCATAAAATTTGTTGCTCAGGGTAGAGAATCGCTTTTTAATTTTTTTATTACAAATCCTGCCAATGTTATGACAGGTTCACGTATTCTTTGATATTGCCGCCTATGGACATTTTTTCAGACGGATCAAGAGCTGAAGATATAATTTAACCTCGCATTTTGATACTGAAGGAACTCTTGCTTTACCTTCAGAGATTCAAAAGCATTATTATTCATGAAGAGTGAATATGCATAGCTCATAAAACTGCTGATTGTGATTTTTCTTATAAACACATAAATTGCATCCTCTTCTAGCAGCTTACAAGTACAAAGCATCATCATAAAGTCTAATGATTTCATAATTCTTAAAAAAACGCTGTACACGAAACGAAAATTAATTATTTTATTCATCAAACACATCATTTAAACATTTTTGCCAAAACATCAGCCTTATACATTCCATAAGACAAAAAACATAGGTCCTATAAGAATGCATAAAGGTATGTGTGACCGCTTATATATTTAATTTGACACATGATTTTCATTAACTTTTTGCAAGGTGTCTGCTTATTAGTTGATTTATACATTTTATGAATAATCAGCAATAGAAGTAACGTGAATTGAGAAGGCATGGCTTCCTGCAATTGCCCCAGGCCCCAGCTAGGAGGAGCCCTGGCCATAGAAGCAGAGTTGTATTTATAAATTTACTATATATTTTCTGCTAATGCTAATAATTTTAATTTAACGTTCAATCTTAAAATTAAGTGCTGAACTCAAGGCTGAACTTCTGATTTAGTTTTATACGTTGGTCAGCCATTATATCTGAGCTTGTTGGTCACCAATTGTTGAGTTGAGGTAAAAGATCTTTCAGTAGTTTGATTAATTGCAAATTAATGACTGAGTTCTTTTTGTTTTCTGAATATCGAAAGTAATGTTCTGTGATACTTTAATGGCTTTGATGCCACTTCGCATTTTCCAGGGAGAATTAACTGCTTGCTAAGTATTAAAATCAGTAGGAAGACTATGATGATGCTATCGTTCCACATGATTACTTATTATATTGAGTGTTTTGATTAATTTTCGGACATTTTTGAAATCCCAAATCAGAAAATATATATATTCCCGGAGATGAACCAGCGTCTGGCTGAAAATCTCCTTAATAAAGACAACCAACCAACCAACCAACCTATAGATATTGGGTTAAATTGATAAACCTCTCGAATGGCTTTCAAGTGTCTTTCTATGAGATATTCTTATTAAATTTGGGTTCCCTAAATCCTTGTGCGAAATGTATTTTCAGCAGATGTTATGGATTTTTGTTTAAAATGCAGTTGCTCCTAAATGTAGGTATTTTTCTATATCACTGGGGATTTTACGGAAAATCATTAATTTCTAACATCGGTAACACAAAAAAGATTGACATTCAATTAAAAATGTTACTTTCAAGTTAGGGACAACAATCCAACCCTATGATTTGTATGTTTGAAAACTGATTTTGAATGCTATTGAACTGCAATTCTACACTATCAAATGTTACTTTTGGGCATTTTTTACTATTAATTGTAAAGCAATATTTTTTTTTACATTTACATTTACATACAAACCTTTAAATAAAAATAGAAAAACACTTTGTTTGTTCTGAGTTTATGAAAAAAAAAACAAGTGTTAAGGCCCAAACGCAATGTTGGCGGAAGCAGAACGGAAACGGCAAGTTTGACAGTTGTCACTGATGAGATCAACATGCCTAACCGAAGTCAATTTGGTGCTAACTAGTTTTACAAGTAGGCTTACTTGTCGGGATTTTCCGCTGCCGCTGCCGTTCCGCTTCCGCGCTTGGACCTTTATTGTCCCATGTTGAAATTCTATGCATAACAGTCAAATTAAAATTTTGTTATTGAATCTATTATAAATGGATCGATTTGATTGAAGGAGGATGTTTTATGAGCACAGAAAGGGATAGGTGCCTTTTTTGTTGGAACTAAACTGCTCTCCAGTCCAGTGTTGTTAACTTTTAATGGAGTACGATCCGCAGACAGACATGGAAAATAATTTAAATTCATTTCGTGCATTCATTTACATTCATTTGCATCTAACTTTTTTCATCAACAGAGTTCCGTGAAATGACGTATAAAACTTTTTTAAATTTTAATATTAGCTACAACTTTTGTGAATAACTCAAATCTGTATCTCTTATGTATGATGAACCAGAGCGAACAGAACCCACCATTGTTTTTCAGTGAATGCAAGTTACATTCACTGAATAGTAATAACAAGTTCTGCCCGCTTTAGTTCGCCATGCATAAGAGGTACAGATTTAAGTTACTCACAAAAGTTTTAGCTAATATCAAAATCTTAAAAATGCTTTATACGTCATTTGACGGCATTATTTTGATGGAAAAAGTTAGAGGCAAATGAATGTAAATGAATGCACGCAATGAATTTACAGGGTGTTCACTTTAAAAATGTGTAAAAAAAAAAAAATGAAAATACAAGATATTCTTTTCCGAGTGAATTTTTATTGAAGCAATGTTTATTAAGAACCTTTACGATATATTTGCTGGGAGCACCCATTCCCCCCCCCCTCTGCTGTATGACGTGCTTGAAACGTTTTTCAAAAGAATCGCACGCGGCAAGAACCTGGTCCATCGGCATCTCGTCCCAGATCTTGGAAATGAGCTTCTAGTAAGTATCAGTTTGGCACTCGCGATACTCCTTCATCGTGCATGGTAAACAAACGACAAATAACAGCAAGTCTACACTATGCGCGTCGGTTAGCCTATATATGAGGCTAAAGCTGACACCAATACCAATACCCAGACTGCACACGGTGCGCACCTACACAACGATGAAAAGTTGTATTCGAACTTATTGAACACCCTGTAAATGATTTGCCATGCCTGTCCGTAGATAGGTGAATTCCCAACAAACAATTCAGAGTCACAAATAAGCATATATATTGAATAAATGCTGTATTACAGTGTACAATGCTGAAGAAAACGAGTAGTCGAATTATGTGCTGAAAAAAGCTCATTGAGATCGATAGATGCACATTTATTCCACTATTTGCTCTGATCTGAATAATTTTCTTATTTAAAGCTGTATAAACGTTGACTGTCTTCCCAATTCAATCCCAATAACAAACTGAATAAGTGTAATTTGCACATACATTGAAGCTTTAATTCGACTGTTTTCAATTGATTTAATAACATACTTTATTAGACGTCTAATAAATGTTTTCTAGCTCCATTATTAGATTTCATTGCATTGTTTTACAATATTGCTGAATAAAGGTGGATACAGTCAGCATAATAGCTCTCATACCACTATGCGTCCATGTTTTAATCGCATGCCTTATAAATGCTTTATAAACGACGTAGTAGGCTCATTATTACACAACACTGGTTCAGTCTAACAACAAGACGAAATCAATAGAGTAGTGGTTACCGTTTCCACTTTTCAGGTATAAGATCGTGAGTTCAATCCCAAGTTCAACCCCTTTATTTTTAAATAGTAAATCATCGATCAGATGACTCACGATAATGAATGCATTGATCTAGTTTAAAAAATAACCGAGCATCCTTTCCTTGGAATTGGAGAGCTGAAGAGGTAACATTGGTCTCATGCAGTGTTCGGAAAATCATTCTCAAATCTCATTAATTGAGCCTCTCTCCGAGAATAAACTCGCATGCGAATGCGGGAAACAAAATTTACGCTTGAGATTTTCATTCATATTCACGCACTCACACTCACAACGCTGAAAAATCATTCCAGCTTTAAACGTCAATTGATATCATGTCTATGCATGTTTTGTTAGTTTTCCAACCCCTGATGCACAAACAATAGTAAGAACAATGAATAACGCCAAAATATAAAGCAATGAATTTTTAAACCTGAAAACTCATCGGTGATTATTGCGACGTTGAATTTTGCAAGGCATGAGATTTGAGTTTTTGAGTTTTTCCGACTCTCATATAAAACAACTATGAATTAATAATCATTCCCACAGGGCCTTGAAGGAGCTAAAGTTGCGATCGGGAGAGCTGATAGGTAATCACTTTCAAGCAAGCTTTTACTGATATTGAGCTGCCCTTATGATGAATTCTAGTATAGCTCAGATGACAAGGCAAGCGGCTGGTGATCGGATGGTTCGAATCCCATGCAACGACATGTATATGTATGTAGTTCATTTTCTTCTAATATCTGTGTGGTACGTACATCGTCAGAAATAATGAAAACAATCACTACTAAAGAATAACTAACAGTTCCCCGTCTCCTCTTATTTTCGGGTTAATTTTCCAAAGTTGAATTGAATAATCGTTTTATAATATCTAATTAAACGTTACTTCACATGAGAATCAAGCGTAAGCAGAGCATCACTGTTTTAATTAAATGGAAGCAGTGATGTCTAATAAACGCTGAATAATCAAAAATGTTATCGAATGAGCTCTGTTACAACTCATATAAGTCCAATAACAGCTTCTCGACATACCTTATACAACACCAATAGTACAATGTGTTGTGGTTGAATAAGTTCTCGAGATTTGTGTGAACAAAGCCTGAACAGAAGTTATTATTAAAAATAATGCAAGTATTTTTAAGCATACAGTTTACGTCTAGAAGTCGTTTCTTCAATAGACGATTGTTTGTTGGGTATGTTCCCATTACGTTAATTATTGCTAAATTTAATGACCATTTTCCAAACACAGTCATTCCAAGAGTATTTTTGTTTTAAAGTGATGAGTGGGGGGTGAACCATACATTTTAGAATCCGTAGAATTTCTTCGGCACTTTAAAAAAATCCTTACAAATCAAGAAAACCTGTAGAATTGTATGGTCGGTCCGTATCCGTAGTAAATCTGGAAATCCGTAGATCTACGGATAAACCCGTAGAACTAACCACACTGCTCCAGTCACATCGTCCAGATCGAACCCGCAAAAACCACCAAATTCCGTTTCCACATCGCTATCGTCGCTTGCATACCTATGTGCATACGATGCTTGCAGAAAATTTCCAAAATTATGCCGATAATACGTGTACGCTCGTTCCACCTCGTTTAGAGACGTAAACATACGTGCAAGATGTCAAACGCAATGTTGTCATCAAAGCAACACGAAAAAAAGAGCGTGACGTAGTGGGATTGATATGCGCAGAATCTCCTGCTGCATAGCAAGTTTCTAGGCATGATAGTCCCACTGAATATTTTACGTGTAAAAATTAATTTTACTGAATTAATCGAAGGTAATTTCCTCGGTAATTTCGCAGTTTTCATAAAAAGTGGCAGATATCCGGAGAACTTTGAGATTTGGGCGTAATTGCTTTTGTAAAAAAACACGTCAATCGCCGATTTCTCGCGAATGAAAGAACAATCTTGCAAACAAACTATACCAAATCATAGAAAAACCACAGACAAACAGACATAACACATTGAATATTTCTGACTGTAAAACATCGTCGCTAAAACATTACCGCCATCTATTGAATACACTGTGGTGGGTAGTACGCTGAACAGATGGCGGTAGTGTGTAAACGTCAAACGCAAGGGAATCGACTATGCGCGCCACAGGTGGCGGTACTACCAACTACGATACTTTTAAATTGACCGTTAAATACTTGTTCGATTAACAACTTTTGAGTGTTATGTCTGTTTGTCTGTGGAAAAACTATTCCTCTACCTGTTTGTGTTATTAGTTTTTTAGATTGAGCTTTAATTCGCGAGATATCGGCAAATGACGTGTTTGTTTACAAAAGCAATTACACCCTAATCTCGAAGCTCTCCGGATATGTTCAAATGGGAGTAATATAATCCTGATGAATTTGGACGGCTTAGTGGAATACCTGTATAAAGAGAGAGAGAGAAAAAGATTAGTAATTTCTATTTAATTCCACTGCCTTATTTGCTTATCTTTGACAGATACGCGTATTTCGTCTACAATGTGCAGACTTCTTCAGTGTCTTGTACTAATACTCGACTAGTATTAGTACAAGACACTGTACGACGAGACGAGTATTAGTACAAGACACTGAAGAAGTCTGCAAATTGTAGACGAAATACGCGTATCTGTCAAGGATAAGCAAATAAGGTAGTGGAATTAAATGGAAATTACTAATCTTTCTCTCTCGTTATATAGTAATATAATATTTTATAGTAACGAATAAGTAACACATATTCGAAACTTTAATCGTGTTTTTCTCTTTTCCAACATTTTAAACATGGGACAGTCATGAGTAGAAAGGCAGTGAATGTCAATTAAAATAAATTGAATGATAGGATGCAGGAAAATCTACTTTTTTTTTAAAGAGAAACTCGTCAAATCAACCATTGGAGTTTCATAATGGAATGCTATTAAGATTTCTCTTGATACATATCACCAACCAACCAATTTTACCTCGGTGATCAAGTTGCCCCCGGATCACAGTACAGTACGTCTTGTTCGCTAACTGGACTAAAAGCGCAGTCCAGTTAGCGAATTCCACTCGATAACTGGGCTGACTAGTCAAACGTCAAAAACACTGAGGGGAACTTCGATGAAATGTTTGATCAGCGTTAAAAAAATTAATGTGCATTGAATTGAAACAGGGTAAATTTTGTTATCATTATTTTCACAGCATTCAATTTCGCGAGTTTAGAAAGGCTTAACGCTTTCGCTAAAAACGCTTTCGCTAAAAACGCTTTCAGGTCCTGCTTTCAGAGTGAAATGAAAATAATTACTAATTTATTTATATTAACACTTAATATTCCATTCGAATGCCCCTCATCAATTTTGACAACGAAGTGTCAAACTAAATGTGACGTATGGCTGCTTTTTAACTGGGCTACAGACCAGTTTACGAACGCCCAGTTAAAGAAAACCCCGGTTACCGAACAAATACTGTAGTTACATTTTTTCATTTGTTTTTTCAGCGAAATGTAGATTTTGATTTTAGTCTGATTTTTTTAAATCAAATTTAATTTGATAGCAGGAACAAAACGATCATAGAGGTAACTCTAAGACTAGAAGGTCCCAAAGAAACGTGCTCAACTTTTTGGCTCAGCTCTGGAACTCTCTTCGGTCCCAAGCAAATCGATGTACCCCTCGAAACATAGGTGAATCCACGAACCCCTCAACATAGTGTAGCACTAGAATTTCGACTAGAATGGGATACGTTAATCGTTAATTTGCTTGGGACCAATAGGCTAGTCAAGTAGTGAGCCAATTTAAAATCGTTAGTTTCCTCCGGTTGATACGATCGTGCATTTCAAATTCAAACTTCACAAGCAAATAATATGGGAGCCCCCGAAGGATAGCTGCCCCTCTGGATCTTAAATGCGGCTCTACTTCCCGTGTCTCCTCTGTATTCAAGCGAGTATTTTTCATCTTATCGAACGTGCCATATTAAATCGCTCGGCAATAGTTATAGAGATCACAGGTCGCTGGTTGGTATAACCGATTTATGAATTGGTCGTTTGCCTATAATTCCACACTTAGCTTGTGTAACAAAGACCATCTACTTACCGCTCCTGGTGTGTCGGTGAAGGCTTCCTGTAGGAAATTGGTAGATGTTGGCCCAGGACAGAAGATCGTTATGTTCACATCGAAAGGCTCATTCCGGAGTGTTTCAAAATATCCCTACAATGAAAAATAATGCTCATGAAAGTGTAGACACAACAGATTATCCAATTACGAAATACTAATAGAAAAAGTAAACACAGAAGTGATAAACAATTTCTACGTCACAGCTCGCAATCGTCGTTATCTTTTTCTGCTAATACATATACCTACATGCAGTGCATGTTTAGCTCCCGTATAGCTCGCCGAGTTGGGAGCCCCTATCAAGCCGGCCGTACTGCTTGTCACAGCCAGGTGACCTTTCATCGAGTTGCGAATGAAAAAGTTAAGAGCGATTCGCGATAGATGAACTACCGAAAAAACGTCCAGCTCGAAAAGCTCCCGGTCCACCTTGACACTGATATTGTTCCAGTCGGCACGTTGCGATCGTCCGGCATTGTTGACCAGGATGTCCAGGGTCTTGAACTGATCGATTACCATATTGAAATAGTCATTGTGATGATTTATATCCAACATATCCATCTGCAGCACGTACACATCGTTCGGCCCGAGAGAGCCATTGGATTGCGCTATTGTTATGTAGGGAGAACATAGAGTCAGATGCTAATATTTTCTCACGAATCGAGTGATATCATCTCATGCACCTACCTATACAATCTTGCTTAACCTTAAGTAGCTCCGAAATGTTTCGAGCTGATAAACACAGACGAACACCATTCTTTGCGAGCGCTATTGCCAAATCTCGTCCGATTCCGCTTGATGCTCCAGTGATCCAAACGACTTTTCCCTTCAGAGATGCTAAAAGAAATCATTCGAAATCATCGTTTAATGAAAACGTCTGTGTGTGGGGGGATAAACCCCAATATAGGATCACAAACAGTTATAGTATGCTTACATATGGGTTTGCCCAATTTGGACAGTACGAAGAGTTCAATGTCCGAATCCAGCACCAACCAGAGAATGAGCCGTACCAGAAAGTAGACAATCGTACAGATGGCAACGAAATTGAAGAAGAAAGCCATTTTCCTAGTCTCCTCGAGGCACACGCCCCTCTATAATCTGATGTGCTTTTGAAAAATTCCAGCAGCTATACCTCACTCATTGACTGACTGCCACTAGGTATATAAGCGATGATACCGAGTGTAGACGACAATACGTCGTCGTTCCTACTGACCCAAAACGATACTCTGCTGGTGGCTGTCGTACCTACCTATCAACAATATAAATAAAAATGCTCTGCGTTGCTTGACTGCGCCGACTTATTAGTTGACGCGTATGTGTGACTGCTGCCTTATTGCCACCGTAAACTAAATATCTACACGCGCTCGCATTCAAACACACCTCGGAAAACATCAGAACTGCCTTGGCAGTATATTTTTGGTTTCAAATACGTTTAAGTGTCTTCTAGTTCTATCTGCCACAATTTTCCATACGCTTAATCCCACTGTGTGGTATCACTTTCTTCGGAACTGCAACTACGCTTGGCTTAAACTATCGACGCGAGCGCAGAAGTCAAGAGAGAATCCAGAGAGTGGATCTCCGATTTTTTCTAGACTTACCTGGCGGAGGAGAAATCACGGTGAATGTCAATACGGAATGCGCATATTGCTCAGTGCATTTGCTTGAACTACCTGTTGCTCGCGCACTGTCAATGGTGTCCATATATACATGCCTAACAGCAAACCGGTATGGGTGTAGTCGCTTTAGTGAGAGACAGTGTAACATTTCCGATATTTTCCTATTTATGACATGTACTTGTTGTAATACAGTGAACATAATAGTACTATGCATATGATTTAACTTTTTAACTGGTAAGCTATTGAATTAACCGATAATCAAACCAAAATACAGTCACATTTACAGCCAGACATGCTTCGGCAGCTTGAAGCATTAAATTTATGTCTACACTGTATGTGTTAAGGCGTCGCAAGCATATGACGAGGGAATGGAAACATGCAAAATGAACAGAAGGAATCGGTTTAACAATATATTTATGATCGTTTGATTTTGTTTTAAAACTAGAGATATTACGAAATGATTGATATAAAAGTGATTAAACATAAATATAATCACCCTTAGGGTATGGCATCCTTTCGGTTTTTACAGCATTCGTAATTCAACTCGTGTGCATAGAAGAATGGGTTGTCTTTATGTTGGATGTAACTGACGGAAATGGGTCCCATATGCCAAAGTAATGCTGCACTCCATTCCTGTTATCGAACGAATCGGATAGGGTAATTTGCTAATTGTTGCACAGCTAAGCACGCGTTTTTGTTATTTAGCGAATTTTCGATGTAGGAATTCTTCAAGAAATTGTTTTCGATGTAGGAGTTCTTCAAGAAATTGTAGCCACCTCAGTCAGGGGCACTTCTGGAGGGTCGGCACGCTTACCGATTACAATTATGCGCTGCAGGGAATGATCACACGTGACACACAGAAAAATCTCCACAAGCACTTCACTACTCAAATCCAAAGATTTATTCCACTTTCCTGACACAACTTTTATTTTCCCTCTTGTGTCTCCTTACACGCCCCACTTTCTGATAAACTAGGGTCTGGTGGAGCAAGAGTGCCACCTTAACAATGGTACTTTCTATATATGCCAAATAGTGGATATTTATAGGAGTGTGTACATCGTATTGTAAGTTCATATCATTGCCTTCATAAATCAGTAGTGTAATGCAAATTAAATCTCGTCAAAAGCTATTTACGATTGTTTCAAAATGTCATCTCAAATCTCAAAAATTGTTTTGAAACTGCCATGGGGCAAGAGTGCCAACACACACAACACACAAAATAATCGTTTTTGAAATAAAAAAAATCATTGATAGAATTAAAAGTTTTCGTTGGTTATTTTTGGTAGAAAGCGGTTAGCTTTCAAACTAAAAGTCAGCCAACTGTCAAATCAAAAGTAGTCCCCCCACAACTTTTAAAAGTTTAAACTTTCAAAATGAATTGTACTACTGTCAAATCAAAGGCATCACAGTGTTGAAATTAAATGCGGATTATTTTTGTTCCGAAACAAGCTTTTAACATGAAAGCACCGACAAACCGACATGACACTTAATTCTGACTTATGTCCGAAAATCGTAAACGGTCGATTTAAATGTGCATGATTTTTTGATCTAGATAAAAATATTTTTTCCAGAATGGATCAAACACGAACCAATTTATAACTTTTGCATGCGGGTTCATGGCTTAGCTAAATATTTCCCGCGAACAGAGAGCCAGATGTCAGTAGTGTGCTCTGGTCAGACATTTTATTGTTTTTGCTATGGTCATTCATGTCGGTTTGTCGGTGATGAAAGTTCATTACTGTTACACTAATATGTACCATTTTGATTAAAAAAAAACAATATTTTCAGCTTAAAAACCAGCATTTTCAATCATAACAACAAAAATTTTCATTTTAAATTCTATTGATTATCGAATTCCTATTTTTGTGATTCAATTTAAAGTGTTTTTTTACAGTTAACATGATGTTTATTAGATTGTTTTTATAGTTAGATAGACGCTGTAGTCAGATTTTGAAGTGAGTTTGACTAGTGATGATTTCTTGGGTCCCGATTCCTCCGGAATCTTTAAAAACCATGCTGCCTTCAAATACAGTCATTATCCGTCGTAGGCTCCAAAAAAACTTATTCCTTGTCAAACTCGTTTCGTGTGACCTTTTCGGATTCAGCGTTACCTCACTACGTCGCTATTGGCAAGGTTCGGCTGCCTGTACGTCTGTTTGTACCTCGGGTAATGAACTGCTCGAAATGTAAACAACTTGGCGAGCAGCGTCAAGAGCGCCCTTGCGGTGCTCCTCCAAAATGCGTGTACTGCAAGGAGAGCCTGCATACCCTGATTGACTGCCCGATGTATAAACCGCAGGGATACAAAATTAAGCGGTCTCTGCAAGCTCGCTCCAAGAGAGCAATAGCAGAACTCTTGAAGAATACCCCTTCATCTTCTCAGACCACTCCAAAAAACGGTAACACTTTTTCCATTTTGCCAGTTGATGATCTAGACTCTGACTTAGAGGTGGGTGACGGTAGTCCGTTTGTCTTTAAAGAGAATTCGAGAAAACGAGCCAAAAACGAGCCAAAAACACATCACCGAAAAGCCTCGCAAGGCCACTCGTACGGAACACCCTTTCACCTTGGAAAAATCAAGAGGTAACGGAAATGCACCGAAACCCATTCCGCCAGGTTTTAAACCTTGTAATTATGACAAGAACTTTCCGTCACTTCCAGGATCATCTAAAAACCCAGATGTCCCAGTTTTTCGGCCAGAACATCAGCTGAATAATCAGCAAGAACATGCCCCCATGTTCACGTTTTCTGGTATTGTGAATAGCTTCTTCAGTATATTCATTGTCTCTGACTCAACGAGGAGCATTATTAATTTAGTGCTGCCAATGGTGAAAACTCTTTTGAATCAACTAGCTTCTAGGTGGTCCTCCCTTGCATCGATCATATCCTTCAATGGATTATTCTCCGAATGAGGTCGGGGATATGACCTCTGTTCTTCAGTGGAACTGTAGAAGCATAGAGGTAACTCTAAGACCAGAAGGTCCCGAAGAAACGAGCTCAACTTTTTGGTTCAGCTCTGGTACTATCTTCGGTCCCATGCTAATCGATTCACCCCTCGAAACATAGGAAAATCCACTAACCCCTCATTTTATCTGTCAAACTTTCATAGCGAATCAAAACAAACATTGTGTAGTACTAGAATTTCGACTAGAATGGGATACGTTAATCATTTGCTTGGGAGCAATAGGCTAGTCAAGTAGTGAGCCAATTTAAAATCGTTAGTTTCGAATTGATTGTTGGTAGAAGTCTTGACACATTTAAATTTTTAGTTTCCACGATTTCAACATTATTCGCCTTGACCGCGCAGATTCGTATGAAGGGGTGCTTCTGGGGATCAACAAGTTCCATTCCTTCAACAGAATCAATCTGCCTTCGGTGACAGGCATTGAAGTTGTCGCATGTCAGGTTAACATTCGAGGTAAATGCCTCAGTATTGCCTCAGTATATCTTCCACCGAGAATTGCGATTTCTCGTCAAAGTTTCTCGGATATCTGCACGGCTATGCCGGAGCCACGGTTGATCTTGGGAGATTTTAACTCTCACGGTATAGGCTGGGGGAACTGTACGACGACAATCGCTCAACATGTGCGACTTCTTCAAAATGACAATTCTGAACACCGGGGAAGCAACACGAGTAGCCAAACCTCCAGCAAACGTAAGCAGATTAGACCTCTCACTTTGTTCGAGTTATCGTTGGATTGCTCGTGGAAAGTAATTCAAGAGCCCTACGGTAGTGATCATTTGCCAATCAAAGTTTCTATTACCAATGGTTCATCTTCTACTCGCTCGGTTGACTTCGCGATCGCGGTTCTTGATGCCAGTCAATCGGTTGAATCACTTCCTCCACTGGACGAGTACTCCTTTCTCGCGCGTCTTATCATCGATTGTGCGCTGCGAGCACAGACGAAACGTGTTCCGGGTGTTTCCGTTCGCAAGCGAACTCCCACTCCGTGGTAAGATATGGATTGGTATGGTTAGGTTGAGGATTTTGAGCGGTACCGTATGCGTGATAATGTTTTCACCATCGTACAAATAAGCTTCCCGTTTCACCTGTGCATACAATGCCTTGGTTTTCTTTACATGCACGTAACCTATAGCTCAAACTGTAGTAGGCTGTGTATAAAAGAAAATGATTTACTTAGTTTGACAGTTGCACCATGACGAAGTGGCAGCGTATTCGTGATTTGTCCCACGCGCAAATGTTGCAAAAAGACATTTCAATCGCCGTGGGAGCATAGAGGTAACTCTAAGACCACTGGTTCCCGAAGAAAATCATTATTATTTTTGGCTCACTCAGTACCAGAACAACGGTCCCAAGCAATCCCAAGCTATTTCACTCACCCCTGCATGTTCTGCATAAATCCACACACCCCAATAGGCTACTCAAGCAGTGAATCAATTTAAAATTGTTAGTTTCCACCCCCTGGTGGGAGTGTCCCGGTGGACCGTCAAAAGGGTTTTAGACCGAAAAAAGAAAGGACAACTATCCGCGAAGGTGGGCACAGGTCGTCCGAAGTCAGCTCGGCTTCCGAGAGTTATCGCTGCTATCAAAAGGAAGATTCGGGTGAATCCAGTGCGTTCCATAAGGAAAATGGCAAAGGAACACGGGATCAGTGACTTTACGGCACGGAAGATTTTAAAGGAAGCTTTGCGGGGTGAAGTCGATTGGATGGAAAAAAAACTCACATGATTACCAACCGCATTCGGGAGCTACGAGTCGAACGATGCAAGAAAATCTTGAACTTTCTTAAGCGAAAAAATCCAGTAATCCTGTTCACCGACGAGAGCATGTTTATCGTCGATCCCGTATCAAATTCCAGAACCGACCGGTATAATAGTTCTCTTCCGGTAAAAGACGTGGCCGACGAGCACAAGAACGTGTATCTGACTAAGCATCCTGTTAGCGTTATGGTGTTTGGATTGGTGACTTCCGATGGCAAAAAATTGACCCGGTGTTCATTCCAGAAGGCGACAAGGTCAACACGGAGGTCTATATCGGGATGTTCTTCCGTGGATCAAAGAACAGTACGGACCTACGGCGTACGGCCAAATGTTGTATTTCAACAAGATGGGGCTCCGTGCCATACCTCGAACCGCAGAAGTGGTTGCAGCAACATCTTCCGTTCTGGGCGAAGGATTTGTGGCCGCCATCCAGCCACAATCTTAATCCGCTGGATTACTCAATATGGCGCGTCATGAAGGCCAAGGCCTGTTCTAAACGCCACCCGAGTACAGCAAGCCTCAGACAAACATTGACCCGTACCTGGAGAGAAATGGATCCAGACTTTATTATTAGAACCTGCCTTGCAGCAAGTGGAAACTCGATCGATGATTAACATAGTTTAATACTCTGAGAATCATCCCCCTTCGAAAAAATAAAAAAAACTCGGAAACGAAATTTTTGAGATTTTTTTTTTAATTTTGACATTGCTTAATGGTACAAACATTATCACGCATACGGTACACCAACGAAGACAAGGAGTTCTCAGACAGTAGGATATTCGGCTTCGCGCGGAAAGTTTGCCCGGATTCGGTGTCGGTTGAAACCAACGTTCGTGATCGTTCGTCGGGTAGTAACGAAATAGATTCCCCGTTATCGATGGTGGAATTCTCACTTGCTCTCCTCTCATGTAACAACTCAGCTCCAGGAATGGATAGAATCAAATTCAAGAGGCAAAGGAACGAGCGACTATCTTGGGTTGCTTTCAACTGAAATTCAACTGGCCTATGCGCAAAAACAGCAAATAGGTTCAGTTTTCTTGGACATTGATTCTGTTTGATTCTGTTTGTATCGATGTCCTTTCGGATATTCTCCACGATAGTGGGCTGTCACCAATTATTATTATGAACAACTATTTGAGCAACTTGTTGTCTGAGACATATATGAGCTTTTCTCATGGAAAAACAACTTCACGAATTAGTTACATGGGTCTCCCCCAGGGTTCATGTTTAAGCCCCCTTCTTTATGATTTTTATGTAAAAAACAGGGGGAACGACACTCATTTGGATGTATTTTTTTCAGTCTAGTAATTACTTGGGATTTTTGGGGAAAAATATAATTGATGGGATTTTTCTGAGTGTGTCCTGTTGACGAAAATAGAGCATGGATAGAAAAAAAATAGATGGGATAGATCAGGGAATGGATGTGATGTGAGGGGTGTTGAAACATTTCAGAGGAATACAAGTCCGAACGCGAAGAGGATAGGTGTAAAAAGAAGAAAAATCTACTGCAATGCAGCGTCCATAAATAACGTGACGCTTAGAGGGGGAAGGGGGTCACCTATATCGTTACAAATTATTACATAGGAGAGGAGTAAAGCTTTCTGTTACGTAACCACGAGAACATTTTGTTTTTTTTTCTTGATGTAAAGTTTGAAAATACAGGTCAAAAAATGCCATCACTAAATCTTGCTTGCAAAATGGATGTTTTAATTTTATATCTTGTGATTTTTGCTCTGCTTAAACTTTTGAAAATCAGGTACTCGATTTTGTTTTTATTTTGATAATAACACAATTACCTAGAGCTTGAGCTTGATTGACCGCCCACGGTTGCTACTCTGTTACTGCCAGATCAGCTGTAATTACACAGAGAACCAATAGACGATGCTTGGGACTAGCAATCATCCTCAATGTGTAAAAACTGGTGATCTTAAATTAGGCAATACCAGCGCCGGCCGCGCTCGAACACAGGTCAAGAAAGGAATGGGAAGGATTGTGTTGACATGACACTCGCTTTGATGGAAGCGGAGAACACCTCTGCACTTCCACGAGGAATCACTGGGATGTTGGATAAGAGGGTTGGGTTTGCAGCAGGGTTCGTTTTGGTAAACGATAAGCTGAATTGATGTCCTAACGATCATATAACGCGAAGGAGCTTGGGACTAAACCCACGGTCTTCTGCTCAGTAAGCAAAAACGTTTGCCACTAGGCAGACGAGCACCTTTTTAATCACCGAGTTGCTGTTATTACCATGTAGTCACATTAACAAATAAAACGATTGACGAATCTTGAATGTGGATGTGCCTGAGATTAGACTCATGATGTTCTGCTCAGTAAGCAAAAACGGTTGCTCTAAGGCCACCGAGCCCCTCATATCACATAATACCGTTGCTCAAATTTGTGTATCCATTCAAACCCGGAACCAACGACAACAACGAGTTTCGCAAAATACACGATACACAAGCGATTTTACCATAAATCTCTTTGATATGTAAGGACCTGGGACCGCGTTTTTCTGCTCAATAAGCAGGCCGCTGTAACCGACGATCTTTCAAATCCGAAAACTAAAAACTACGAAAAAGTACTTAGGCCTTTATTAAGTTCCACTTTCACGCGACGTTCAATGACAGGGTCCTATCCAGGATTACATCTGAAAAATCCAAATCTGGCCAACGCCCATCCTAAACCTAAACCTGTTCTAATCCACCTGAAATGACTATAAGAATACAATTACCTAGAAATAAAAAAGACATACCGGAATGAAAAATTCATTAAATGAGACGACCCCCCCCCCCCAGGGTGTATTTTAGAGCGTTAAGTAATAAATAGAGGGGGATCATTTTCAGTGTTACGTTTTGTTCTGAAGGGAGGGGGGGTCGAAAAACTGACATACATATTGAATTCACAATGAATACACATATACCCCATTCCTCGCTCTCGCTATCTCCTGATTTTTCTCGCTCGAAGTGAACCAATAGGGTACAGCAACCAAAACGGTAACATGGTAGTGGCTATCACGATATCGACCACGTGCTTTGGTCATGTACCCTCCATTGTGTTGCTAGATCCGAGTTATCCGCATCCCTCAGGGCCCGAAGAAAACAACCTTTGCGGCCCGCTAGAGGCGAGCCGAGATCTCGACTAGTTAAATTTAATTTATGTGTTTTTAAAACGGATCGATTTAGCACGGATTTAGTAGTTAGTGTCATCTTGTGTTCTCTCAAGTTGTTAGCTGCCCATCGGTGTACCTCCATGTTTGTTTTTTCATCAGTATGTCGCTTAGTTCGAGATCAAGAGCACATTGCTCGAAAAAACCTTGTGTTCTCAATCCCTATCCTGCCATCCGTTTGTTACAATTTGTTACCCCTAACCTCGAGATAGCCGCGAGTAATCGGCCCCCACTTTACTAACGTAAGTTTTAAGTAATTTTGTAACGTAAAGCTACGGCAAATGAGCGTGGAAAAATAAACATATTATAAAAAAAAAACTATGTAAATAGTAACTTCACACATGAAGTTATATAAACATGATTAGTTAAAGTAATAAACAAAATGCTGTCATAAGTTTCAGACTCCGAATACTAGCGGCGTGGTTTTACAGTGAAACCTGCGTCCAACTTTTATATTAACCAGACTTTATGTGAGATGACAGCTTATCATCGAGCTGAGTAAAATGATTATAGAAGGGTGTTTTATAAACGGTACACCGATAATAATAATAGATTGTTCGATGTGCTGCTGTCCTACTTCCAATAAGCCACTAAGATCATTAGAAAAATAATGTTGAATATCACACTTCGTTGAAAGAACTTTCAATGGATAATCAATTCAAAAAATCGAACCTGCACTGTAACAAAACCACACAATCAAGAACGTCGGAAGAAAGTAAAAGCCTGGTCATTTTTCGAACACGAACAAGTTTGTTGATTTTCTAAATATGCCATTGTATGGATGCGATGTGATGTAGGCATGCCTATATAACGCATTTCTTATCCCGCACGGTCAGTTCTGAAACGAAAGCCGAGTGTTTTAAATCTAAGTTCGCAACAGAGCGTTGGCGGTTGAAGATTAGTGCGCGTGTGAACAATCCGTTGTGTTCGGTGTATTGTCTAATCACTTGTTTTATTTTTTTTTACTTTACTGGAACAATGTTTCTATTTTCGTTGATTGGGATCTGTGCCGTTATCTATTATGTAATACAATTTATGGTGTTCTATTTCTTGGACTCAGACTTTGAGCTGTATTTGCTTTCGAAGCTAGGCAAACCTGTTGGTAAATGTGTATTACTTCGTGTGGGAGATTGTATTCTAATGATCTTTTTTATACATTTAAGAATCTCTTCGTGGTAAGGTGGTATGGATAACGGGAGCCTCGAGCGGCATTGGTCGCGATCTCGCCATTATTTTGGCAAAGCATAGCGTCCGGTTGTGTCTCTCGTCCCGAAAACAATCCGAACTGATGAAAGTGAAGAAAGATTGCTTGGACGCTTCCCGCGGATATTTGCACAGCAACGACATTTTCGTAATGCCGATGGACATGCTCGAGATCGAAAGCCACCAGAAGTACTTCGATAACGTCATCGATCACTTCAAGACGCTAGACATTCTGGTCAACAATGCTGGTCGTTCTCAGCGCGCTGAATGGAACACCATTCAGCTGAAGGTTGACCGGGAGTTGTTCGAGCTGGATGTATTCGCCGTTGTCAACATGTCCCGGATTGCGTTGAATTATTTCGTAACGAATGGGCTGCAAGGTCACATTGCCGTGACTAGTAGCGTCACAGGACTGGTCGGTTTCCCCAACTCAGCTACCTACACTGCGGCGAAGCATGCTTTGCATGTAAGTATACGGGGCTTAACCTAAGTTAGTTTGGTAATAAATTAGAAAACCTGTTCGCTTCGAATGATCACGGCCGGTGCCAAAACAAACAGGGTTGATGTTTTGCCAGCGATTGAATTCCTTCATTATATATTAGCATGCATGGTTATCAACCAGTTGTTGTGCAGTAAACATTTATTTTGTCATTTTGATGGCTCGTTCTTTGATTGTTGCTATCACGCGTAGAGATGTTCCAGGTATAATGATGACATAAGAATGGGAATTTTTGTATGAGCTTAAGTGCGAAAAACAGCGTTGAACACTTCTTGTGTTCATGACAGCTATTTGGCCTTTTCCTTGAAAAGTTGTAAAAGACTTATCTAGGGTTGTTGATATCGGTTTTATGTTGTACTTATTCAAGTATATGATCATTGGCACACCAGGACATGTTCTGAGTGTCACTTTGCTAGTGGCACTAATATGCCTTGAACCAAGCATCCGGGAACGGATACAAATTCAAGAACAAGATCTATGGCTGTTATGTTAAGTGTTTGAGTACACTTTGATGTCCCCGAGAGAACAAACTAAATACATAGATCATGAAACACATCAGGCCATATTAGATCCGCATATTATTGAAAAGAAAGCATCGCAGTCAGGCTTGAGAATTTTCCATTTTCAAAATTCCATTTTTGTAAATAAGAAGAGAAAATATCTAAACTTTTCTGCAGTCTGCTGTAAATAACATGAAGACTTCTTCCTTTAGCGGAAATGCCTGTGTCATCAGCGAACAAAGATTTGTAGCAACACTGAGACAAACCAGGGAGGTCCGAAGTGAGGCCCAAGAATGCTACCCTGAAGAACTCCTGCTCTAACAGGTAGTCGATTAGATTTGGAATTTTGATAAATTACCTGCAGAGTTCTGTCAGTTAAATAATTTTGAACTGATTTCATAATATAAAGTGGAAAATTAAACTTTTTCAATTTAGCAATGAGTTCGTATTGATGTGAAGCATCATTCTATTCAAAATTATCTTTTCAAAAAGTTTACTTATTGAAGAAAGCAAACTTATTGGACGGTAGCTAGAAGCTTCAGCTGGATTTTTATCCGGCTTCAAAATTGGAACAACTTTAGCATTTTTCGATTTATCAGGAAAGTATGTCAAATGGAAACATCTGTTAAATAATTTTACCAAGAAAGACAAGGTACTCTCTGGGAGTTTTTTGATGAGGATATAGAAAATTCCATCATCACCTGGAGCTTTCATATTTTGAAACTTTTTAGTACTAGACCTTACTTCGTCCAAATCAGTTCCCCAGGAATCGTCAAAAATATTTTCCCGAGAGAAAATATTCAGATAATCCCGAGCAACCCAAAGAGATTCTCAATAGGACTAGTTTAGACCCAAACTGAAATTATGGGAACTCTTGAATTGCTTAGCAAGTTTCTGAGCTTTTTCCAAATTTGTGATCCAAATTTTACCACCTTCTTAAAGCGCTGAAATTGGCTTTTGAGGTTTTTTTTCAAAATTTTTGTGAGTTTCCAAAAGGGTTTGGAACTCGGGTCTAATTTAGAAAGATTATTTTCAAAAGTTTTGTTCCTCAGAGCAGAGAATCGCTTTTTAATTTGTTTTTGCAAATCCCGCCAGATAACTTTCATGGCAGGATCTCGTGTTCTTTGATATTGTCTCCTACGGACATTTTTAAGATGGATCAAGAGCTGAAGATCGTCGTCTATTATAATTGAATCGAATTTAACCTCGCATTTTGGTACTGAGGCAGCTCTTGTTTCAACTATAGAAGTAGTCAGAGATTCAAGAGCATAATTAATTTCATCTTTGGTTTGCAAAGGAATGTTTGGATCGAAGTTATATTCCATAAATGTTCGATACTGCTCCCAATCCTCTATGGTATTTGAAAGTAGAGCTGTTGGAATTAGAAATTATTTCTTGGGATATTTCAAAAGTTACTGGAAGGTGATCAGAACCGAAGTCAGCATGGGTAACCAATTGGCTACAAAGTTGACATGAATCAGTTAAGACCAAATCAATAGTGGAGGGATTTCTTGCAGAAGAAAAGCATGTTGGGCTGTTTGGATATTGAATAGTGTAATAACCTGCAGAACAATCATCAAACAGAATATTACCATAGAGGTAACTCTAAGACAAGTAGGTCCCGAAGAAACGTGCTCAACTTTTTGGCTCACCTCTGGTACTATTTTCGGTCCCAAGCTTGTCGAATCACCCCTCGAAACATAGGAAAAACCAATAACCCCTCATTTTATCTATCAAACTTTCATAGCGAATCAAAACAAACATTGCGTAGTACTAGAATTTCGACTAGAATAGGGTACGTTAATCGTTTGCTTGGGACCAATAGGCTACTAAAGTGGTGAGCCAATTTAAAATCGTTAGTTTCGTATTGATTGTTGATATTACCATTGGAATTGCTTTGAGCATTATTCCATGAGCGGTGTTTTGCATTAAAGTCACCAATAATGAAGAATTCAGACCTATGACGGGTAAGTTTCTGAAGGTCACCCTTGAGAAAATTCTTTTGCTGGCCTACGCATTGGAATGGCAAATAGGCAGCCATAAACGTAAGTTGTCCAAATTTTGTTTCAACAGAAACTCCCAAAGTTTCAAAAACTTTGGTTTCAAATGAAGAAATAATTTTATGTTTTATTCGTCTATGAACAATGATGGCAACGCCACCACAGGGTCCATCAAGACAATCATTTCTATAAATGAAATAATTTGCGTCCTTCTTAACCTTATGGTCAGGTTTAAGGAACGTTTCAGTTATAACGGCAATATGCACGTTATGAACTCTCAAAAAGTTAAATAGTTCGTCTTCATTATCTTTAAGAGAGCGAGCATTCCAATTTAAAATATTTAATGCTTTAAAATCCATTACTGAATTTTAAAGTCATGACAATATCATTTGCAAATTTCACTCCAGTTTGAATAGCATCAAACATGGAGTTAGATTTAAGCATATCAGAAATCATGTCAATTAATGATTTCTGTAAAAATTCCAATTTAGGGGCAGTAATGCTTCCTAAGTCAAAATTGTCAAAATTTCCGTTAGAATTACGTTGATTAGTATTTTGATTTCTACCCGCTGCAATAGCAGCATAGGTAGCTCCATTAACTCGCTGAACATTGTTAGCAGCGAGGGGAGTAGGTACAGATGAAACATTTGAAGCAGGGGTGATATTTGTACCTACGGGCAGTCTTGTAAGCGGTCACGGTAATCGACACATTTTCTGTGATAATTGACTGCCTTTGCCTCCGAAACTTGCAAAACAAGCTATCATAGTACAGTACCAAACTAAAATGTCGTATGACAGGCTCTGTCATACGACACTGTCGCCGAAGACCGTCACGAATGTATGTATTTTAGTTTTTCTCATAATAAGAGCTGCTGATGGTGTGCTTGTGTGAATTCTGAAAATAACAAGCAATGATGTTCTAGTAATAATATTTCTGATCAGAAATGGTTTAATTTACACCAAATTGAGGAATTACAACGAAATCACACATGTCATATGATAGCTATTTTGATAATTTTCTTTTAGCTCGAATGTTATTCTACCGCTCGTGTTGTGTGAGAGAGACGACGGTAGAGCATGAGTGTTCGAATACAAACAGATTGTCGCGCACGACAACGAAGCGAGTGTAGTAAAAAACGTCAACTGTTTCAACCCCTGCCTACGGGTACGAATGTAGAATTTGTTCCTCGCTGACCGTTGTTAACAGCAGATGAATTTGTACCTGGTCGGAAACGTGGAGCGTTTCCTACCTGTCACTTAGAACGAGATTGTAGGATCGCTTTGCGAGTCTTACATTCCCAAAAATTGGATTTGTGGTTTTCACCACAATTTGAACATTTAAATTTCTTAGGATCTTCCTTCACAGGACAGTCGTCCTTTGCGTGAGAGGAATCACCACAATTCATGCATTTAGCTGGCATGTAGCAATTTTTAGTTCCGTGACCCCATCCCTGGCACTTACGGCACTGAGTGAGGTTTTGGAAATTTCCTCCAGTCTTCCTGAAGTGTTCCCACTTCACTCGGACATGGAGCATAAGGCTAGCTTTTTCTAAGGCCTTAAGGTTGTTTAGTTCACTAGACTAGAAGTGAACTAAATAAAAATCATTAGAAATCCCATTGCGCGAATCGCCAGGACGGAATTTCATTTTCATTTTGATTACTTGGAGTGGCACAACTCCAAGTAATTTTGCCAGTTCATCTTTGATCTGATCCAGGGATTCACCACTGGGCAGTCCTTTCATGACAACCTTGAACACACGTTCAGTTTTGGTGTCGTAAGTAAAAAATTTGTGCTTCTTCTCAGTAAGATACTTGAGAAGACATTTAAATCCGTCCAAGGTTTCAGCCAATACACGGCATTCACCCGGACGTCCAATTTGTAGTGAAAACTTAACTTTCACGAAATTCAAAAGTTCCATGCGAAGAACATGGAAATCGGAAATGGTTATCACAATAGGGGGAATCTTTTCCTTCTTGGCATTAAGCCGGGAAAGTTTACTAGAATTTTTCTTGGATGATGGATCATTCTCATCATCCGTGAGCAAATCAAATTGATTACTCAAATTAATTTCATCAGAAGGGGGGTCAAGAGTTTGCCCCTTTCTTTTGCGTTTAGGCGCCATGGCGGCAGTAATTTTTTATCCAAATCGACTTCCAAGCAGATTTCTATAAGAATCTGAAGGATCGAAGAGGAATTTTCCAAATTGATATCCAAGAAGGATTACCTCGGGTAGGGTCCAAACAAGGATCGAAGAGGAATAAAGTTGAACAAGGTAGAAAATTTTTACAGGTTGAGCACTGAAAAGTGCTGTTTAAATTTATTGTAGCTTTAGGCAGTAGTAACACTTCCTTCAGCAAAAAGCAAATAGATCCGCACGGCAAGAGAGTACGATGCGGACTGATTAGCGCATCTATGTTTTTTGTTTTATCACAACGAGTACAAGTGTAGGCAAAAATTCTATAGACT